GCTCTGGGATGACTTTGCCCACAGCCTTGGCAGCGCCAGTGGACGCAGGGATGATGTTCTGGGCAGCGCCTGGGATACATGAGAGTTTGTCTCAAGAACAATACAAAAAAAGAAACCAAATAACGCTAAGTTTTTGTGACTAAAAGAAAAAAGAATTAAAAAAAATAACCAATGCTTCCAATCCATACAATAAAATCATTACTGCATAAAAATACTATTTGGCAGATTAAAATTGCACAAAAATATGATACATATATGCAGTTTTATGAGATTTAAAATAAACTGCTGAGTTTCAAGAACCCAAGACAAATGTTTGCAGTATGTATGATGCACATATATTAAACTCTAAAAAGAATATAAGTTCTGTGTTGTATTTCAATTCAACATTTCATTCTGAAGTTTGCCATCCTCACACACATGGCTAAGAACCATTAACAAGCATTCCGCTGTGGTGTCAAAGGTTTTATTTTTCGGGTAAACACTGCCCTCTTCTGGCAATTGGAAATAGTTGTGAAGCTACACAAAATTCTTTAAGGGTCATTACTGCAAACCACACAACAAATTATGTACATTAGCTAATCAGTAAATGTTCTTGGCTCAAATCGTCCCCCCCCCCAAAAAAAACTTCTCACAGCAATGAAGAAGTTTATCAGAATGTTCAAACAGGGATGCTTTAAAAAGAAAATAAATTAGGCAGTCTAAATTCTCCAGTAAATCAGTCACTAACAAGACACCGGATCTTGAACTAACTCTATAACCACTCTAGACCTTAGTTTCTATCTATAAGATTATAACTAAGTCATTAATGGAGTTCTTCAGCCTTCATGTGCTTCTAAGTTTAGAAGAAAAAAACAAATACCTTTTAATACCCTAGTAAAAAATAGGCCTATTTAAGACAATCTCCATATTATTTGTTTTTAATAAAAATTGACTGTTTATTGTTTGAATTCTCTTTAGAAAAAAAGGCTCAAGTTTTATTCCTCCCTGTTCACACATTTTTTCTTAAACAATATACAGCAAGAGTCCACTGAATTATGAGGAAAAGTAAACTCAAGAAACTGAAAAGTTTCTAAGAAGCATTTTATAGTATTTCTTTTGATAAGCTGTGTGTGTGTGGTAGGGGTGTTAAACCAAGTGCCCAAAAGTTAATAGGAAAGAAAGAAACCTTCAGTGATTCCAGAATCTTGAATGTTGCCATGATAGTTAGAAATCCACCGTTTGGGGTAAAAAAAAAACAAACAAGGTACCTCGGCTTTATATATGCCATTTCATTCTTCTTCCTCATCTGTCATAAATTCTTGTTCCACAATTTCTTTCTCTCTATCATATCCCTTCTTATTCAACTTCTCTGGCAACTATTTAGTATAGGTTCCAAGTTCCTAAAACATTCATATTATAATATCTGTAACAGTCGATTGGTTTCAAAGTGTGGTCTGAGTACCAGCACTGCCAACACTTGGGACACTTGGAAGACGTGACATCTCCTGGACTCCGTACACTATACAGTATAAAAAGTGTAACATGAATACCATGTGTGATCCTATATGGTGTGCTGCAGGCTTTAAATACTCAAAAAGGAAGAGCATACGACCAAAGAACTTAAAAGCAGGCTAACTGCAAAGAGGTTTCTGTAATTGTGTGTGTGTGTGTGAGTGTGTGTGTAAAAGCTGCAGAGGGGTCAACTCTCTCCAACTCTCTCCTCCCAGGGTGCGGCAGACCTTCGCTCGAACCCAGTCCCTTTCGTCTTATTTCTCCAGAAAAGTCGCGTTCCCAGACAAAACACGGATTCTCCCCAACTTGAAACTACCCAGGAAGCTTCTCAGCCTCAGGACAAGGCCGACCACTGGCTTAGCAGGCGAGCTTCCTCCCACCACGCCTCAGCCTCCTCCACACCACCTGACCAGAGGCTCCACCCACCAGCGACTCAGCCGGCCGTGACGCCCGCGAACGCGACGCGAAGTCCACTCTGCGCCTGCGCGAGCAGGCTGCCAGCGAGGGCGGAGCCAGCGCCGGATGCAAGTCGCTCTGGGCGGGGCTTAGGGACAGTTCGCTGGTCTTGGGGCTGGGCTCACAGCGGAAGCTGCGGTTTAGGAGACTGACCAAAGCGGGTTCTGTAATGTAGGAGGAGCTTAGGGCGGAAGCCGCAAGCAACGGGCGGATTTAGGGAGAGATTAGTGTTTATAGGACTGGGCTGGGCCGGAAAGCGGCGGTGTAGGTGGGGCTTAGGGCACGTTGCGCATGCGCAACGCACCCCGCGGTCTGCGTAGTTACTTTTGAACCGGGTGGCGGGGAAAAGCTAAAGGAGCTGAGCCTTAAGGCGGCGGTGTGCGTGAAGCTGACAACGTTCTCCGTTAGGCCTAGCGATGGCACAGCAGCTCGCCCGGGAGCAAGGCATCACCCTGCGCGGGAGCGCGGAGATCGTGGCCGAATTTTTCTGTGAGTTTTGAGAGCGGCCTGGCCCGGGTCCTAGGAAGCGCACTGGGGCAGAACCGCTGCTTGGTCTCCCGCTCATTTCACCTGCAGAGGGGGGAACGCTGCGCCGCCCTGCGCAGACTTCGGCATCCTGAAACGGAAAGGGCTTACCCGGAGCATCACCCCATTCGCTCTTGAAAGCTGAGGTCTATATTGACGGCCTCTGACCACATAGTCTGTATTTACACTTAGATTGCGATACGGTGCAGGTTGGCATTGTTGGGTTAAAGGTTTTCTGTGTCGTTTTGTGCCTTCTCTGCTTTCTGGAAGACTTACAAACGTGAGTAGATGTCTATAGCTTTATTTTTTCTTTTCGCTTTCAGCATTTGGCATCAACAGCATTTTGTATCAACGTGGTATATATCCGTCGGAAACCTTCACTCGAGTGCAAAAGTATGGACTCACCCTGCTTGTAACTACTGACCCCGAGCTCATAAAGTATCTCAATAATGTGGTGGAGCAGCTAAAAGGTAATCACGTTTGGAGTTTTCCATCTTCTAGAGTTACATTTGTAAGAGTTACATAAAGCAATATAATATGCCATCTCACATATAGTGCTTCTGAATTGGGAGGAAGCAGATAATGGAGAGAAATCCCACCCTTTCTCCCACTGCTTTGAAGTAGGCTGAATGTCTGGACACTGTTTATTCATTGATAGCTCGGTGATGTGCTTCCTGTTTGTCTGATACTTATTCCCACCTATTTTTATTCCTTCTAGAATTCTTCGTGAGTTGTGCATCACTTAGGATTTTTGTGTTTAGCTTTGTATCTCTAAACATAATCTTACAAAATACCAATTCTAAAAGCATTTCAAGTGTCTTTTATCTCTTTGAGTTTTTATTTTATGTGTTTGGATGTTTTACATGGGTTATATCTGTATGTACCAGGTGCATGCATGGTTCCTGAAGAGGCCAGAAGAGGATGTCAGTTCTCAGGAAGAGCAGCCAGTGCTCCTAACTGCCCATTGTTCTGGCTCCCAGAACCTTTTTTGTCAGAGTGTTTTAGTTTGTTTCAGCTGTAGTTTTATTACAGTGTTTATTGCAGTTTTGTTAGCTTCACCATTAAAATGGCCTTCTTTTGGTGGCCATCTGAACGTAGTTAGCTTGACATCTCTTTAAGGCCATATTCTTTTTTTTGTTTTGTTTTGTTTTGCTTTTGAGACAGGGTCTCTTGTAGCTCTGGCTTTTTTGAAACTTGCTATGTAGACAGGCTAACCCTGAACTCATAGATCATAGAGATCAGCCTCCCAAGTGGTGGGGCTAAAGGCTTTCACCACTATGCCCAGCTTAAGGCCATACTCCAAAACATTCTTTGCTATTCCTATCTACAGTAGACTATTCATCAACACTTGGGCAGGTTGAGTGTGAATTCACAAACAAAAAAGGTAGAATATACTCTTTACAAATTTTCTCAGTCTCATATTACTGAAATTTTTAATCTGGAAATTTCCTGTATCTAAGATAATGTGGCAACATTCTGTCTCCTGCTCACCAGATGTCAACCCTCCTGGCTATGACCATCAGATACCTTTGTATATTGCCATGAGGAGCCTGGTAGACAAAGTTGCCTTTGGTTGAGAATTTCTTTGGTAGATTAGACAGCTAGGCTGGTAAATATGTGGGGATACTCTTCTGCTCTCAAGTACAAAGATACACCTACCTGGAGGAGGAGAAGCCCATCCCTCATCATTCTCGCAAACATGCTTCATATTCTGCAGAATAAAACATAAACATAGGATGCTCTTCCAAATTGTGTATCAGTGACTAGGTCCACAATCCAACCAGAAATCTGAAAACTACTTCAGTGATTCTTACTCAAAGCTAATGAGTAAGTCTGAACAGTCGTAAGCAAAATCTGCTTTGTTGCATCTCTACCAGTATATCCCTATAGCTTTGCATCCTAGTGTTTGTAGACTCCCCCTCCCTTTTTACCCCTTCCAGCTAACGTACTGCCAAGACTGATAGGTTGGAAACACAAGATTAATTGATCACTCTGCTTAAAACATAGTTCTGGTGTTCCTGATTCTTAGAAGCAGTTTCTTTATTCAATGCATAAGATTTTATATGATATAGCATCTTGATTTTTCATAATAATATATATTCTCCCTTTCTTTGCAATTATAGTATCCTGCAAAATTATATGTGCTCTTCTCTTTTGAGTATTTAGAGTCTGAATTTCCCTCTCCTTTGCACATTTAATGCAAAAACTAATCCTTCCTTCACTCATCAGAATGGATCAGATTTGTTTTACGCTCTAATCCTGTCTTTCTGTTCCTAACAGCCCCCACAGGTGTGACAGGCAGTTGTTTTCACGGTGCTTAGATGAAAGCCTGTGCCTTATTCTTACTGTGAATTACAGGGAAAGTACAGGTTCACGTGATGCCATTGTCACACCTATTAATATGGAGAATTTAAAAATTGACTAACTTGTTAATGGGGAACTTTTCCTTATGTGTGAAAGGATGCCCGAAATACTAGTGTTTAAGAATTCTGTAAGCTAAAAAGTGGTTTTA